CTTTCACAGCTTCAATCTTTTCTCTGTTTACCTAGATTTATTTTCTTGGTAGGGATCTAATGTTCCACTCAAGCTCTTTCTTCTTAATGGTCCTGGAACAGTTTGTTCCTGAAATGGATGATGAATGCTCCCGCCTTCTAGTTTAATATCGTCTACAATTACAGTTGTGACCATCACAATTAATCCTGCTAGCAGTTTCTCACAATTGACTCATAAAATCCTATCACTGTCACCCTATATTCCCTTTCATCAGATCCATCTGGAAAAGAGGAAAACTATTCAGTGGGGATTCTACGTTACTCCCTCATTCTGAAACTAGGCACACTCATAAAAGCTTATAAACCACTTCATGCCTTTATAGCCCTCCCAGTTTTGAGAGCCAATCTATCAATTTCCCATTCCTATCAACCCATTACATTGAGGAAACAAGCTTCTCCCTTGACATGAACAATCCTTGCATTCCAGTTGGGATTTTGAGTGAATGCATCCATAAGCAAAAGTGCAGTTCATCAAATTGTAGCAATTTATACTTGCTCTAGTATCAAACATTTTTATCTTCATGTGTTTGCGTTCTGGTCAGCTAGCCATCTAAGCAAGGTCAAATGGGTACTAACTGCAAGTTTATGCAAGCCTCACTGCACTTTAGACCGGCTTGATGCTTCACTCTCAGCCCTGGCCCCCAGGGACTAAGTCAGTGCCCCTGGCCTCAGGCATTCACATATCACCCTAAACTTCACACCAGCCAGCCCTTCCTCTTTTCTCTCATCTCAAGGTTAACAGGTGTCAATGGAACATGGCCAAACTCAGCCCATGTCTTCATTGCTGCATTTCTCCTAAATAGCGAGCACAATAGACTGATCATGAGTTCCCTTTAGTTCCATTTGAGTTTCATTTCTAGAAGGGGATTTTCCCTGATGAGCTGACTTTTCTTGCCTTGATGCCTCTAAAGCGAACATCTTGCTTGATATTCAACCAACTGTCCATTTTTTATTTGCAGGTCTTTCCTTCAATAAAAATAATCTGTTCTCTTAGCAGTTCTGGGTTGGTCTGCATGTCTTTTTAGGTTTTTATTGTGAGTTGAGTGAAAGTTTACAGGACAGATCATCAGTTTTTCATTTAACAAATCATATACTTTGTTTCATTACAATGGTTATAATCCCCTCCATGTACCATCAGTTAACAGTATTTCTCTCTATTCATTTTAGCTCTTTTTTTTTTTT